TATAATGTTCCAAATGGTTCACTACAAACCAGGTCAGAATAGGAGACTTGGTGCACTCCTTAAGTTCAGTTGCCAGGGACGGGATTGCTGGATGAGTCTCAGTCAGTTTGAATTCCCTTCAGAGACAAATCCTTGAGCCCCTTAATTCTTCCTCCAGGGAAGCACGGCCTGGCAGTGCGATCAGCTTGTTTACAGTGCTGGTGTTAACTGCTTCCTCTCAACTTGTCTCTGCATTCTATCTGCTCTGCAGCTCAAGATAAATGAAATGCTGAACAGACAGCCCTAATCATAACAATCAGGCACTTACCTACACTAGTGACTAATCCCTCCTGGAATCCTTTCCAGATGGAAGTTGGAATAACCCAGCTGGAAGTTGGAATAACCCAAGCATCACTTTTAGGGGCCAGTCCTGATGGCTGTTGGATAATTCACTGAAGTGCAAGACCCTGTCTTTGAATCTTAGCTATTGGGAATTCAACCTTGTGATGTGCTGAGCAGGTTTCTTTCCAGTGACCCCACTGCCATATGAGATCAGAACTATAAGAAGTCATCGAAGCCTCAGTGGTGGCCTCTTGAATTATTGATGTCTCCATTTAATGAGGGGTGTGTGTGTGTGTGTGTGAGCACAGGGAATACTTCTTTGTTTATCAAAAGGTTTGGCATGAACACAGTAAAAGAGAAGCTTGAGAAAAGACAGTGGGAAATGCAGGTCTCTGGAACAGGATCACATACATCCCACACAGAGCCTTGTCCCTGGCCTGGTTTGGTGCTTGGGTGCGAGTGTTCGCCCTCTGGCACAGCTATTGCTCAGGAACACCCTGGGGATGGAGAAAGGCTGCAGAGGCTTCAGTGTCAGTGCAGAAGAAAAGACCTTCCAGAGGGCTGACTGTGGCCTCTGTCTGAACAACCTGGTGGCTTTTGAAGCAGACAGAACTGCATCCATCACAACCTGTCTTGGTCTGGCATTCACCAAGTGGAGTGTGTTTAGAAGAGTGATTAAATGTCTTTTAGCCACAAAGAGGGTCCACTCATCTTTGACAAAAGGCGCTGCTGGGGACTTCTGTCCCTAAAGAGGTCACCACAGGATACAAAACGGAGAATGAACAGGTCTTCTGTGCAAGGCACACTTAACATGTTGCCATAGAAACCAGTTACTTAATTCAGGCATACACAATTCTTCCAGCCCCCAGTGAATTCCAGTAATGGGTTTATTATATCACACTTCATTGGTGTCATCTGTCACACAGACACTCACATAAATGAACCAGCCTTTGATTCAGAACTCCCTTCCACCAGCTAGACCCAGTAGGGGAAGGGTCTCCTTCTGAGCTGATGGTTATGAGCAGGTCAGTGTTTCACCCCGCTTTGCATGCTAATGTCTTCCTTTCATGCAAACGTCATATTCAATGGAGAAGAACATTTGTTTTCATTTCCTGATATTCCAGTTTATTAAAAATGTGCTTTTAATCTCTCAGATCCTTGAGTGCACGTGCTGTCAGGATGCAGGTTCAAACATTTCAGTCCCTTTTTCCCCCCACGTGATGTTTGAACTACAACTCACATTGATGTTTGATGCAATTTCTCCTTCTGCTTGGGCCAGAGTTTTGATTTATGTTATCTGACCTGATGGCTCATTTTAGGTTCCATGACTATATAGTACAGTGTTTTTAAGTTAGAAGAACAGATGGATGGACAAGTGGGTAAAAAATGTCTCAGTCATGCCAGTATTCCCTGTAGATGCAGTTACAGATGATGAAGAGGCCTTAAAACTGTGGTGCTGGTTTCAGTTCATGAGATAATGATGAATATCCTAGGATTCAGATAGATAGATTCTACCTATTAAAGTACTCTGGATCTGAATGGGAGTAGGGGATTTAACAAATGCCTGAGTAAAAGAAAATGCAAAAGAGGTATTATAAAGTAATCTTCTTGAATTTCTGTATGAGGTGTTCCCCAATGTATCTTATCTGAGATGGAATGGAGATATGTGACCCTGTCAGAGGGGAAAAATAGGGGGCAATCAACCAGAGACAAGGGATGTGCCTTAACTTAGCATTATGTTCTGCTGTGACTTTGTCATGTCACTCATCCAAATGTCTTTTGCTCTGTTCTAGTCTCCTACATTTTTCTCTTCTGAAAAATTTTTTACCTTGCTTTTAGGAAGAAACTCTTTCAGTGGTCTTGGTGGCCACAATGTGCTGCGTGAGATCTCAGTTTCCAGATGTGTGTAGGTTACTGTGGCTCTACCCCCTTCCCCTTTCACGTCTGCATTCTCAGTTCTGGAAGCCAGTTGACCTGAAATCTTGTTTCATGATGTGTCCCAGAATGGGTTTTAAACCTAAGTACTCTCACTAGGCCATCTTTTTTTTTTTTGGTTTTTTTTTTTCCCTTTTTTAAATTCCTTTTGTGCCCTGTTAAAAAAGGAATTTGTGTCTGTTCTAAGAATGAATAGGACCCAAGAATAACCTGAGTCTCATGTGGTGAAAATTACTTCAAACCCCTCAGTAAAGAAAACTGGCATTTATGTCAGAGCATTAATTAGCACTTAAGTTGGAACAGTTTTGATCATTTCAGTCTTGCTGTCAGCTTGTGATGTGAGCCCCTTGGCAATCCAAGGCTTAGCCAGAATCAGTAACTGGGTAGGTCAGAGTAGAGGTGAAAAAGAAGCAGAGAACACTGAAAAGATACTGGTGGGGATTCAGTCAGCTGCCTTCAAAGTCACTCGAGTCAGTGCTTGAGGGGATGCTCTGGTGACATTTGTGACATCTTCAAAACAAGGTGTAAAATTGCAGTTCTGAGGTGTGTGGGCAAAGCTCCCGTGAGACCTGTAGTAACAGTAGCAGTGTCACTCAGGCAAATCTATCACTTTAAATAGCTACACTCTGCCTTCCTTTATTTCAACTCACAAAAGGATCTGCTATGTCATACTGCTGACCTGAAAACCTGCTGCTTCTGCACCTTTGCCACAGGACATTTACGGATAGATTAAGAGGTTTCTGTAAAGTCTGTCCAGATCTGGACAATCCTTTTGGGTTAATCTGCTGTGATACAGTATTTGTCTTGTCCTCTGGTCAGTTGCCACACAGATTCCTGTGTGCTGCTTTAGAGCCTCAGCACTTCTCCCATGGAGGAAGTGACCTCTGCACCTATTGAATTCATATTCGTGAAACTATTTGGGATCTGCAGGGGTAAAATAGGACTGGTTTCATTATTAGTATTGTTTCCTGACATCTACTACCATGCCATTGATTAAGCACACACATACTCATTTCAGTGTAGCTGCTGCCCAAATTGACAGAATCACTTTGACACTTGTAATCACAAAGGCTTGCATCAGATGAATGTTTTATTATTTGATTTTCTGCCATCCACTTCTTAGATTTGTTGTAGCAGCAGCAGCACATGGTCTTAATGATATTCCCCAAGGTTAAGAAAGCACAAAAGCCAGCACAGTGCAGGGGACACTGTACTAGAGAGGGAAGGTTTATTTTGCATTTAAGGCCAAAGCATTTCCCTCAGACCCTGTATTCTGTCCCTCACTCAACCAGAATTGTCCTCCTTTACCACAAAACATTTCACCTTCCTGTGCTGCTCTTTTCCCATCTGTGAAATGGCAGCAGAACCCTGTATGTGTGCTGAAGATCATTAACTGGATCTTGCAAAGTACTTCCAGATTTTTGATTGGAAGGCACACAAGAATGGAAAAGTATATTACTTGCCGAGATTCTTGACGTGGCAAATTGCAACCTCCCTACAGAAGACATTTGCATGCATTTGACTTGCATTTGACTTTGACATGAAATGAATCATGATAACTGACCAGCAGAATTACTGCTCCAGAAATAAGACAGTTTAGTAGTCAGATGATCTGTTCCAGGTTTCTAATACTCAGAGATGTTTCTTAGCCTGTTACACACAGATGAATTAAATCTCTCCCTACAGCTGTGCCCCTGCCTTGGGTATAGTGCCTTGGCTTCTTCTCATGTACATTTTGAAGTGCACTGCTGCAACACTGGTTTTCTGAAGCCTATCTGGACCATTCACCTCCCACCTAAGCTTAATTTGCAGATAAGTGTTACTGCTGAGTCTGCTGACCACTCCAAGATGGAAACCAAAAGGATTGTGACTTCTCTGAGGAAGAGAGAAGGAAGTGAAAGAACATGAAAAGTTTCAATCCTCTGTTGAAATTATAGGAAAATCTCATAATCTTGCTTTATGACTTTGTCTTCTCTTTAAAATGATACCAATGATACTTTTGGTCATTCCCATCTGAGCTGTTTCAAGATTGATGAATGAAAAGAGTCTAGTCAGTAGTCAATGTTCCTGTCAGAAGAATTTATCAGAACAATTGTACCTTTATTTAAAAAACACTCTTTTGCATGTATTTAAGAACAAATCAGAATATTCATACCAAGGGAGGGCTTTTCCCACCATTGAGTAGTGAATCCTGGCTGTTCTCTCCCACTTCTGCTTCCAAGCAGTTTCATTTCTGAAGCCTATGGCTTGATACAATCAGCCATAGTCACCACCAGCATGAAAAGTGAAAGCAAGAAAACATTGAACTTGGAGAAATTATGTATTTAAAAGTCAGCCAATAATCTAAGAATTTTTATACGAAGAAAAAAAAGAAAGATCATGCAGTTCACGTCATCCTAAAGTGAAAATGGTTTGGATAAATCTGACAATCTGACTCTGCAGATGTGTGTTTCCCACATCTATTTTGCTAGAATTCTAGTTCAGTTTTGGGCATCTGCAGTGTAAAATTAGGTAATGTTCATATTATCCTGTGAGCTCTCATAAAAGAAATTTGCTAAAGCATTTCTATCCCTGATGTATAATTTCTCTTCTTCGTCCCCTTTATTTGCTCAACACAAAGCCTTTAGGGAGAGGATACCTTTTTAATGTATATGCACAGTATGTCTTTGAGATACACTCTCTGTTTTCTGGCAGTCTGGAGCTGTCTGACATTAAACTTAGTCCAAATCTCAATTATTGCTTACCTCTCCTCTGGTGCAGGGCACTGCATCTGAATACCTGGAAGTGCACATGGAGCCTTCCTCAATGAGATCATCCTGGAGCCCAAAAGTAGCTGTACAGTTGACAGAGAAATACTTGTAGGGCCTCCAAGTCTGCCCATAATCCTGGGATCTTTCCAGCACCATGGCAGCTGGGCGAGGTGACTTGAACACAGCAATGACGTGGGTCAGGTAGAATTCTGTTTCAAAGTCCAGTCGGATTTCCTCTCTGTGTACCCCTTGGGCTGACTGCCACCAGGAGACGGGGTTTGCAAAGAAATCATCTGTCATGTCAGCAGGGAGGTGGGAGTTATCGGGCTGGTTGGTGTTGCATTTGGCGCAGCGGGGCTGCCCACAGCTGGGGGAGGCGTGGTGGAGGAGGTTCTGGTCTGGGTAGAAGCAGAAGAGCTCTGTGCTGTTCTGGCCACACGTGGTGGTGGTCACTGGTGTCCTTCCTGTGGCGAGGTTCCCCACGGGAGGGTTGCAGGCATGGCCATTGCAGCGGAAGGCTCGTGGCCTTGCGGGATCTGAAGGACAGGGAAAAGAAACACAAGTAGAATTTCTCAAGTAGTTCTCATGGTGTAAGCCAGGTGACAACACAAATGTTTGGAGTCCTCATCTGGGGACTGGAATTTAAGAGGACACCTTTGAAGGAGAGCTGCTTCATCTTTTCACACAAGGTTTTGAGATAGTGACTCAATAAATCTAGTCTTTGTGTCTGGTGCCTAACTCAGAAACTGATCTTTAGAAAAATTCCTGCTTATGGTGCTTAACTTTGATTTCCATTGAAAATGCAATTGTGCCAGTCTATTGAATTTTATGGTTAACCAGAGAAATCTTGTGGTTTTTACTTTCCCTCTAGTAAAGCTCCATATTGAAGGAATGAGTCTATTCCATGGCTTTATTTTCATGGTAATCAGAGAGCACATTCAAACTGGACTGGACACTGTCAATACGTTAAGAAAAGAGATGATTCCTGACTAACAAGTTACAGACATTAATTACAATAATGAACACATGAAGAAAGCCTGTATTGCTATAGCTGAGTGTTGAGCTTCTACTGCTTCTAATAAGATCAGGTGGAGTTATTAATTTGCTGCAAAGCTGAAAATCGAGTCTCTGTTTTGTTTAAATACCTTGACATGGAGGTGGTGGTTACATTCTATTTGCCAAGTGTGCAAATACTGACAATTTTTTGGTATCTTCAATGTATATATTAACTTATTTCTAAATTAATAAAAGGAAGGGATAACCACAAAATCTTAATGTTGTTTGAAAATCAGTAGTGTCTTGTGAACTGGAATTAAAGGTCATTCCAAAACCTTATCTCTATGCTGGAGAAAACTGCATTTCTAATGACATACAATGTTCTCTTTGCAACTTAACACTCTAGAAGGAGTTAAAAACTGACCTTCCAAGGTCATAAATCTAATCCAAGAGGTCACAAGTCAGATGACTGGATTTAGGTCTTACAGGAAATGACCCTTCCAATGAAATGTGGCATGACCCTGGGTAAAGCCTGGGTAATCTAGGAGCAGTTCAAAGGTCATCTATAAATTCAGCATTCTAGGCCAAATTTTAAAATCCGTACTCCATTTATATTCAGCCTTTTCTTTGGTAAAATCAGTTTAAAAATCAAGTTAGGTGAAAGAAAGGGGTCTGAAAATTTGCCTTATGAAAGTACTCAGATTGTAAATGTTGTTGGATGAAATGGACATTCCTCTTTCCTAAAGGAAAGTTTAAAGTGAAAAAATGCATCCAGCTTGCACAGTTTTGCTTCTGAGTTGATCCTGTCCTCAGTTCCTCAGTGACATCTCTGCACAGGCCAGGAAAGAAAGGTCAGACAAGAACTCTCTTTTGGAAAACACTTCATCAATTCTGCATTCCAGGGGTAGGATGCAAAATAGTTATTGCATGTCCACTGAATCCCATGACCAATGGTTTGTGCCATTGTAGCTCACATACAGTTCCAGGTAGTCTGAAACTTCAGATAGCAAGGAAGGAGATCATCCACAAATGCTCTTGTCTGCTCTTAGAAACAGGTGGAAGCCACCTCCAAGGTAATTTGCAGTGTGTTGTCTGGCAATGATTTCCTTTTACCTTCAGCTGAGCAGGTGATCCTCAGCACTACCAGAAGTAAGCAAAGATACAATGAGCTACAAGTGCACAGCTCAAGAATGTCTCTCCAAATGGCATTTAGGTTCATGTCCAAACTGCTTGGTAAAAGCTGCTGGAAATAAGGGAGGCAATTTCTGTGTTTAAAGCAGATTCAGTATTAACTGATTTTGCTCAGTGCTGCACAAAGGTGTCATCTTTGCCTCCAGAGAATTTTAGTGGGACTCGTCTTACAACTGAGCTTTGAACAAGCATTAGTTCTGACTAAGAGTCCGGTTACTTAGTTTTGATTAAGAATGGATCCATGTTACAAATGTTATTGGATTATGGATGATTATGTATAAATTTACCATGTAATTAAAAGAAAGTCCATCTCTATTGATGGATTATGCCACTAAAGCTTTCACAGAAGAAATGGGATGCTGGAGTTCTAAATTAAGGAAGTTGCATAAGGGGGAAGCTTTTCAGACAAGAATGTGAGAAAGCAGAAAAGGAAACATTTTCTAAAGGGAATGGCTGCTTTTTGTATTTCCCATAAATGGGCTATTAGTTTTGTATTGAATTTTTAGCTGTTTTTTTCTGAGCCTTGAAAAGAAAGATGTTTTTTCCCCTGAACAGTAGTCACAAGAAGGTTTATCTGCTCTGCCTGCTAATGCAGCAACATCAATAAACAGTTCCTGTCTGAACTGCTGTGTCATTAGGTAAATGGTAGAAGAACAAAGTGCAAATTAGCAGAAGGGAGTTTGAGAGAAGGAGAGAGATTGGAAAACAAAATCTGCAGTCGATTAAAAGCTTTGTATTTAAAGAAATCAATTGGCAGAACATTGTTTGGCCGCAAGGATAGTGCAGCCCGCCCATCACTCACTGGTTCTGTGGAAACAACACGAAATATTGAGTCTGGACAGCAAGAGGAGACTGCTGCAGGAGAGAAACAGCAGCCAGGCGAACACACAACTTACCCCAACTGCCAGGAGGAATCACTGAATAATTCATAGAGAATTAAACAATTTGATTACTCACGGGCACTGCATGTTATTATGAGGTTGATTAGTTTTTACTCCATGGAGGGTGGCTTGGGTCCATAAATAGTATGATTAAAAAAATTATTTGTTTGTTTTCTGGTCCCTCAGATCTGTGCCACAAAGTGGCAGGTCAATGGCACATGCCCAGCCCATGTTATAACAGTGCTGTTACCTGGTGATTAGGGACTCATGACTCATGACTCAGTTCAAGGGAGGTCATATTGTGGACATTCCTGGGACACCATTTCAAATGCAGATCTCTTACTTCACAGTTTTGTACTAAAACACTGTAGACATTAACAAAAACCAGGTTCAATTATTTTTTCTTCATTTCTTTTCACCCTCCATTGGATACTCAACAGAAGAAAGGTCATATGGCAACTCATCCAAAGCCTGCTGATATGACTGGAAAGATGGCTAATATTTTCTGAGTGATTCAAATTGGAATTTTTATTTGTTTTCCATATGCAGGTTTATGATTTAGTGTGTTCAAATCTCCTGCAGTGAGTCAGGACAGTAAATTTCATATATCTCAGAAAGAGCAAAACCTTTGGGCATCTTCTGCTGTGTGTTTAATGGAGCAATTTCAGCATGTATGTCCAACCTGGATTTCACTTGTTATATATCTGCTCAACTTTTTTCTTAATAACCAAGACCTTATAAGTGTTATTCTAAATCTAACCACCCTGGGGACTTAAGTTGCTCAAGTTTTTCTTAGCCAGACCTAGAATTTTACCCTTTAACACTGGTTTCAACAGCTGTACAACTCTTTGGTTTGTCTGGGGCCAACATGCTGTAAGTTTGGCAGGTCTTCATCCCCTTTTGAGAAGCCTGGTGTATTTCTGCACTAAAATAGTTCTGATAACTGGAGCTAATGAGCCTGCTGTCAAAATACCTCTGAGGTGAAATTCAGAATGTGCCATGAAACCAAACTTGAGGCACGGACAGAAGAACAAGATCCCAGGCTGGGGCCCTCTTCCATCGTGTCCAGTTGCAGTCTGCCTGTCCACATCCTTCCTGGAGCAGCAGTGGGCTCCAGCACCTGCAGCTTCATTGGCAGATGAGCTGAATAACCTCAGACCAGATGAAACCAAGTCCTGCTAATAACCAGGTCCTGCAATCCTTGATTTTCAGCTTGATGGTAGAAGTGGCCATTTTTGACCACATCACACTTTCTTTTCCAGGGCTCCCACTGGGACGAGAGCTGGCCTGGGTGCTGCTCCCCAGGCTGCTGCTCGCATGGGGAGGTCTGGGGCTGAAGCAAGAGCTCAAGCTGTTGTCAGCTGCACTAAGTGTCCCTTATGCAAGAGTTTTCAGATGACTGCAGAGTTGATTTGAGGGGAATAATGCCCTCCACCTGCATAAGACAAGGGGAAGGATTGTCCAAGTGTCACATCTTACAGTATGAACCCAAGCTGACTGCTCCAGCCTAATAAGTAAGGTGTTTGGTTTTTTGTTTGGGTGTTTTTTTCTCCATTATGTTTAAAGGTCTAAGGAGTCAATCTTGACAACCCAGACTGTCTTCTCTGCACAGAGGTGGCAGAAGGCAAATATTGGACTCCCCACAAATATTATGTGCCTTGTACTCCCCACAGGCTAATGAAGTAAGCCAAAAACATACTTCTCTGTGCTTCTCTAAATAAAGAATCAAAACCTAACAGGCAACCCTTGTGCTTCCACAGGCTGATTGTTCGTGCAACCTTTCATTCAAACACCAAATATTTATTTAAAGGGGCATTGAATCCTTAGCAGCATCACCTTCAATATCCAGTTATTTTGCTGGTATTCACTATGTCCTACACTATTATTTTGAGTGAGTTGAGCTCCAAACAGAACACACTCCCTCCCTGCAAATTCACTTTCTAAGCAGCCAGCTGGGAGCTGTGTTTCCTTGAAGATTCATTTTCTCTTTGTGAATTGGATGCAGAGCAGATTTAGGCTAGTTTCTAACAGGCTGCCTTCTGCAAGTGTCAGCAACTTCCCAGGAGGTCTCTGCAGCCTCTCTGTGCTGCATGTTATGTGTCCTCTAGGAGCTTACATCCTAGCCTGGGGAGCTAGAGAATGCCTAGAGTAAGACACTAAGAGAATTAAGGCACATGTACTCCCTCCCCTCACTCCCTGTCACGCTGTGACAGCCTTTTCCCCAAATGAGTTACTGGGTAATATGACAGGATGGTAAATTTATGAGCTGTTTCCAGTTTTTAAGAAAATAATTCTTGTGGTTATGGAAATCTGCTGTCTGTTATCAGTGGGGTTCTAGCTAGGGAATAATCTGAGCTGAATCCACTTGATCTGCCTCTGCCTTCAGTGGAACTTGCAGGATACTTGAGTGTTTCAGTTGCTTTCAAATCACTTTTGAAGAGTGTTGTTCCTGTCCTAATACCCTGAGCACACAGGTGAAATTTAAACCATTGAAATGCTTTCCTATACAGGAAGAGAGATTCCAAGCGAATATCTCAAAGGAAAAGTCACCAAGGATGAACTGTTTTTTCATCAATAATTATTTTTATTTTTTTCTGACCTGATTCTTGTAATTAATCCTTTTTGAACTTAAAGATGTATTAAACCACTACAGAAAGGACATAAATCCAATGCTTTGCTTCCTTTCCTTTAAGGAATTTGTCTTCATCATAATCCAGATATTTTTAGAACCCCATGTAAATACCATTACAGCTGTATCATTCCTATATGTGTTTATTTGTACACCCACATGTCTACTCACGACTAATCAGCTTCTCTCTCTGTTTTAATTAATTTTTCTCTAATGCTAATTTATTCCTGTCCTCTGCATGTTAACTATTCAGTTAAGATTTCCTACACAGTATCTCTGATTTTTAATGATGCAATATTAAGTTAGAAGAGAATAATTCAGATTCCTGCACTGATGCTTTCCAAGGATGTTGTCATTTCACTCTTGTCCTGCCTAGGAAGGCAGTGTTTCACCCTCAAAACAAACATCCAGTGTATCTCACTCCATCTACCTTTCTTTCTCTTACTTTTCTTTTGTCTTAAAAAATGATACTCTCCTTTCTTTTAAGGGTGTATGAACCTGTGCATCCTATGATAAGTCTTTGGAAGAAGGCTGAATTATAAAGTTGGGTATTGCAGGGAATAAGAAACATTTGTATATATTGACTAACACAGATTCCTTGTAAAAATCAACCTAAAATAAAGATGTTTCCACAATTTATTTTTCACAAACAGATCTGATTTCTATCCCCTTTCCCCTTGTTAAATCTAAGATAAATTGTTTCAGAATGGCAGTATTGATTTATTTTGCTTACCTGCTTCCCCATGTCCAGAAATAAAATATTCCAAGAACACAATCAGCATGATGCCTTTATGCTGCATGGCTGTCAGTAAAATATTTGTCCTCAGTGAAGCAAAAAAGACCTGCAGTAATCTACAGGTTTGGTGCTTGCATGGCTTTTCTGTTTTCTTTCTTTCTGCTCACCTTCCTCTCAGTGTAGGGGTCAAGGCTGCTGTCTCATTCTTCTTGCTCTCGTTCGGGTCCAGAGGTGGTTTGGTTTTTTTCAGGGCTCAGATGCCTTCTGGGTGTCACCCATACATTGCTTCCAATAAATAAATAAATCACGAGGGGTTTCTGAGCCTTTAGCCCTCTCCATGCAGCGGGCAGGGGACGTTCACATCTCTGACGCAGCCCCTCGGATGCACCATCGGGGGCTGATGCGAGGCGGAGAGCTCTGCTCGGTCCGGTCCTTGGCGCTTATTTGGATGCTATTTCGAAACTTTCATTTCTGCTCCTTGCTTTTGGTGGAGCTCCGGCTCTGCGGTGCCCGGGCTCGCCCTGGCAGCCCTCCGTACCCCGCCGCTGCTCCCCGGGCTGGAGAGGGGTCCTGAACCCTGCTTTGTTAGGAGGTGCCCCCCTGTACCTTCTCTCCCTTTGCTCCCTGCAGCATGGGGTCATAAGAAGAAAAGAGTTGGCTTTGGTCCCTGAGAGATGATGAGAAGCAAGCGCTTTCTTGGATCTTCTCTTTTTTTTTTTTTCCTATTTTTTTTTTAATTTTGGTTTGTTTTATTTTATTTTATTTCCCTCCTCCCTCCGCTGTCACGGAAGCCGCTTCTCCCCCACCTCCGAGGGATTTGCTTCACACAGTGAGCGCCAGGGGAGTGGAAAACAAACGCAGCGCCAGCTCTCCGGGGCCGGTGCCCGGGCAGTCCCCGGTCTGCGCTGCTGGAGCGGCTCCTGGCCGCCGCTCGGGGCTGCGCTCCCGGGATGGAGGTGCGGGGAAAGGGAGGGGGCTGGAGAATCCTTCCTCCCTCCTGCTACAGCAGGGCTCGGGGCGGGGGGGTCCTGCCCTCCCGAGGGCGGGTTAGTTATCTGCAAGTTTTGTCTCTGCTCCCTTCAACCTCTGTCTAGCACATCTCTCCGTCCTAACCGGGCACTTCTCAGTTCTCCTCCTCTCTGGTCCTGTCTGGCTGCAAAGGGGATTATTAAAACATGTGATCTTTATTCCTGCGCTTTATCTGTGCCCTTTTTTTGTTGTTTCGTTTTGGTTCTTTTCTGCCTTTATTAATTTTGTTAAGGTCGGTTCCGCACCTCCTCTCGGCTGGGCTGGTCCTGGCTGGGCTCAGCTGCGGGCGTTGTTTCCCAGCCGCCTCCTCTCCTGTGCTTGTCCCTCTGCGTGTCCGTGTCCGTGTGTCCCTGTGCGTGTCCGTGTCCGTGTGCGTGTGTCCGTGTGCGTGTCCGTGTCCGT